TAGGTAATGGTGGTGTCCTGGATAGTAAGATATGCTATAAAGCATGGATATCATGTGACTGACAGGTTAATGACCATGAGCATCTCTCAGTTTCTCAGTCGGATTCTCCCCTCAATCCTCACAATTGCATTTTCAAACAGCACGACAGCGATGGCCAAAATTCTAAGTTGAATGAGACTCCGAACCAATGAGTGACATCAACTAATGTTTAACATTTAAAATGCAGAGGGTAAAGGACCAAGCAAGTATTTAGCAAACGAAGCACATGTTGCATTTCACTGTTAGAAGACAGCTGTTAAGCTTCACAGCAAACCTCTGGATACAATGAATTTTCCTTTATTTGTTGGCTGGAAATTTTCATTTTAATGATTTCATACCCAGCCAAATGCAAAGACCCCACTGATCACAGTCAAACAAATTTCATTACTAGGGGTGACATTTTTATCAGACTGTCCTCGAGAGGGGGGAAAGGTGATTTATTGACTGTTATAGGCTGATCGCTTTTCCAGAAAAGTGTGATGACTTTGTGAATGTGACATGTCATTTTAAAAAGAAAATAAAAGTAACTCAACTTGCTGCGCCAACCTTGGTGGAAGGAGGTCACAGATCTAATACAGGCTGAGGATAAATCACATTAATCTTCACGGGAATATGTCACAGAGAGAATGTGCCTGGGGAAACAGGACTCTGAGCGAATAAAACATTTGGGTAACAGAGCACTGAATGGTCACGAGGGAGATGGATGATTCTGAGAAGCCTCAGAGATACGATCAATCCAAGTGGATTGCATCCTGCAGCGATGTCCTTGTTGAATATCATGTTCTACTTTTTACACCTGTAGCTGTACTGTTTCCTTACCTGAAGAAATTCCACACCACTTCCTCCAAATTAGAGTATTAGTGGAAAAGAAAAAAAGTAGACTCTGGTTTTCTTAGAAATGCTTGAAACAAAAAACTTACATTTGCCATTTGGAGGTATGAAGTTTGAAGAATATACTTTGTTCTTCTTCTTGGGGGTTACCGCTGGTTCTTCATCGCCTTCTTCATAGTCCTGTGCCAACAGACCCTGAAGTCCCCACAGCAGCAGGAGCCAGTGCATGGAGGGGACCATGACTTCTCTAACAGGGGTAAAGGGAAAACGATTAAAAAAGAGATGCATTTGAATACTGCGCACAAAACCCTGTACACACTCACAGAACAAGCTTTAACAAGCATAAATGTTTAAGACTCAGCCATCAAGCATGCATACCTTGCAGTGTTGCTGACTCCTTAAGAACTTGTGCCCTGTACTCCGTAGCTCTCCTGGCAGTGAAATTCAGGAGAAAAAGGTTTAAAATAGGACAAATAAGAATTTCTTCAGTCAGAGTAATTTTGATTCCATGTCCTGTGCGTCATGTTTATTGGTCTGTTGCAGAAGTTGTTGCAGTCTCCAGATGCAGCAGGCAGCATATAGTCACACCAGAAACTGAAGCAGCAGTGAAAAGCCCCAAACCTTTATTCTGGCTCTCATGGGACTCCCATAAATTCAAGCCATCCCCAAGCTTGCATTAAATGAAGAGAAGTCCGGCCCTTTTTCTGATGATCGCTCCCTTTGGGTGAGAGTGTGGGTGGGGTAGAGAGGCAGTTACAGACATTCTAGAAAGACATGACCGAGCAACCAGTAACCTTTCCCTCTAAGCTCATTTTTTTGTAATTGCTGGTTGGGTTCCAAGTGAGTATTTATCCATGTTTTCAGTGTGTTTTGTGGCAGTAGGGCAATTTAGGACATAAAGATAACGATATTATAATATGTCTGGTGAGAAAATGGGCAATCTATCTAGTTTTTCAATATACAAGATGCCTCACTCATCCAAGCACTTTTTATACACCTAAGTGCTTTTTTTGTGTTACATTCTTGCCCAAGGATACTTGGTCATCCAGATTCGAGTACCCAGAGCTTAAACCACCACCCTTCTGATTGGTAGTTGACCTGCTCTACCTCCTGAGCTGTAGCCTCTCCACTGGTGTTACTGTATTATCTAACTGTCAATATGACTGGACCATTGAAGGTAAAGCCCTTTTTTCAGGTTAGCTATTTCAGGTAACTATTTTGCCTCTTGGAGCCACTGTGAACACATTACAGTTTATAGATGGATGACAGAAGCTTATCTAAAAATGTCCCATTGACCCCCTGCTGTATATGTTATTAGCCTTCCATCTAAGCCAGTAGTACTTATTTAGGCTACAGTTTGAGCATTTTGATATTTATTCATATTTGTGTTTACCTGATAATTGTAAGTCCAGCCTTTTAGCTCAGATTTTGGACCCCACCATTAACAGAGGTAAACATTTAATCAGAATCAGAATACTTTATTAATCCCGAAGGAAATTTAGCTCGTTGTTTTTCCTGTCTGAATATACCACTAATGTATATTGGATTTTTAGAATCTATTTGTGGCTAAAAGGAATAGTAAGAGTAAAAGAAAATATAGCTGGAAGTCCCCGTCAAGCCAAGGGAACAATCACTCCATGGTCATTTTCTGTAGGTTAACCAGTGCAAGCAGCCCCGTTCAAATGACCAAAGTCATTTGATGCAGTGTTATTGCAATCAGTATAGCTGTTTTTAAATTAGTGTGTTCTCATGGGCTCAACTTCACAATAATCCAAAAAACTGGAAAAATTAAGGAAGGGAATTGTCTCTCTTAAGGTAACACACCGTGCAAAAGAAGTTACCAGAATCCACCTATGAAAACACCCAGAGCAGTTATCTGTTTTTCCTTTGACTTGATTTCCTGACATTTACAATACTCCAAACTAAGTAAACTAATAAGAATATTTACAGACCAATTTAGTCTCTACAGGTAAATACTAGTGTAATATATTTCTGAGAGTACATCTGGATGGAATTTGCAATATTCATTTATTTATATTGTTCAGGTCTAATTTGGACCCACATGAATCCTTTTCAGTTCCAAAGAAAAGTTTCATAGCTCCTGAAATATATTATAATATCTGTGCAGTACTGGATCAGAGGAGTTTTGTATTCCCAGGCTTTAACCATATAACTTGAACCAGACTCCCATAACTCAGAAACTGGAATAACACTTGGACTAAATGAAGAAATGGATAGGCTCAATACAGCAGGAACTCAGCGTAATTGGCAGTCCAAATATAATCAAACAGTATATGAGCGACTTTGGCCTTTGCGATGCATGGCGCTCCCTTCACCCCAACAGTAAGGAATATACTTTTTTCTCACATGTTCATCACTCCTACTCTCGTCTGGATTATTTTTTGGTCAGCAGCTCACTGCTGAGTGACATTTCAGACACTGAGATTCACCCTATAGCTGTCAACGATCACGCTCCTGTATCTTTAACACTAATACACAAGAATAACACTACGCCAAGTAAAAACTGGAGATTTAATACATCACTGCGTAAAGATGAAGACTTTATTAAATATTTTTAAAAAGAAAGGACTCTATATTTAGACTATAATGACAAACATATCATAAAATGATAACAAATAAACCCATCCAAAAAAGAAATTGATCAGTTTTTGGAGAACATAACTCTTCCAAAGTTATTAGACACTCAAGCAATGGCACTGGATTCACCACTGACGCCAGGTGAACTCCAGGAAGCCCTGATAAGTATGCCCAATAATAAGGCTCCAGGTCCAGACGGCTTTCCTGCAGAATTCTACAAAGAATTCTGGACGATTCTAGCACCAGTTTTTTACAGAACGTTGTTGGAAATCAAAAGGGCAGACTTCCATCAAATATGAATTCTGCAAACATTAATTTCCTGCTAAAACCAGACAAAGACCCTGTATATCCCTCAAGCTATCGTCCAATATCCCTTATAAATGTAAACCTTAAAATAATCTGCAAAGCTCTCTCAAAGAGACTAGAGAAAATAACCCCCCTCTTAATTCATCCTGATCAAACTGGTTTTATAAAAGGTAGGCACTCATCAACAAATACAAGTAGATTACTTAATTTGATAGACTACTCATACAGTAAAAACATCAAAACTACAATATTTTCTTTAGATGCAGAAAAAGCATTTGACACAGTTAACTGGAAATTTCTATTTGTAACTTTATACAAATTTGGTTTTGGAACCTCTTTCATTAACTGGATAAAAATATTATACAATTCCCCAACAGCTTGTGTCAGAACAAATGACCAAACATCCTCCAGCTTCTGTCTCCTGAGGGGCACCAGGCAGGGATGCCCACTCTCCCCTTCACTGTTTGCAATTTTTATTGAACCACTAGCATCAGCAATTAGACAGAATTCAGTAATTGAGGGCATAAAATGCAAGATCGTGGAACATAAAATCAGCCTTTATGCGGATGATGTGTTACTTTTTCTCCAAAACTCACAAACCAATATCTCTGGGGTGATTGAATTGATAAACTCTTTTGCAAGAATATCAGACTACTCAATTAACTGGTCAAAATCTACAGTCCTTCCGATTAATTGCTCCTTCCATAAATTTTCTTCTACACCACTGCAATCAGGAAATATAAAATATTTAGGTATTAATGTTTCTCCCAAGCTTGCAGATCTAACTAAATTAAACCATATCCCACTTTTAAAGAAGGTAGAAGGCAATCTGGCTAGATGCAAATGTCTACCCATATCACTCATGGGAAGGGTTGCCGCTATAAAAATGATGGTCTTACCAAAAATAAATTATTTATTCTCAATGATCCCAACTAAACCGCCACAAGATTGGTTCAGATCTCTAGATTCATACATGTCCAAATTCCTTTGGAAAGATAAACCCCCACGTATAAGCTTAAAAACACTACAAAACACCAAGGATAAAGGAGGATTAGAACTACCTAACTTTCAGCACTACTTCTTAGCCAACAGACTTCAATTTATCTCAGGATGGCTAAAACATACCCTCTTAGATGAACCTTGGCTAGATGTAGAACAAGCACTTTGCAATAATCTAGAGATTTCAGACTAGTGCTGTGCAATATGACCAAATGTAACATTTTCTGTAAATTCTGTGACTCTCGGGCAGCTCGACTTGCGGGAAGTGTTTCTGGAGTTGAGTGTTTTAACCGATGCATGAAACGATACATTTTTAGACATAAGTTGTAACAGCTGCCGTTTTCTTTGTGAGTATTTATTACATGGCGTGCTGCGGGGAAAAGCCTGTTCTAATGTTTGAGTCTAAGGTTTATTTTTTAGCACCTGGCGGCTCTTTTTTACGGAGCCCCGCAGGGGACATGGGAGATGGGAGACGTTTACACAACTACATTCCCGCCTCAAAATATCTTAAAAGTGTATTTTGTGGGGGTACTTTTTTACTTCTCATCCGTAAATAATCTGCTCTTTCACGTGATTCTGTTTATTTTTGAAAAGTCTCAACAGGATCTTGACCTTTATTGTGAAAGGTTTATGTGGAACATAAACAAGCGAACACGCAATGGTGTTACCGACATGAATGCTTCAAAAGCGTCAGCATCAGCTCTTCTCTGACAGCATGGGAGGAGTTTCAAAAATTGACGGAAATTCATTAATCTCATGCAAACATACACCTATCTGGAACAACCCTGACATATTACAAAACAATAATATGATAAACTTTTCAGATTGGAGTGGTAAAGGAATCAAATA